GTGGTAAATGAAACTTGTACTTTACGTCACATGTGCAGACACATATGTAAAGAAAAAAACAATACAGCATTCTCTGATTGTAGTTTTAGAGTTTTAATAAATATTGTAAATTAACAATATATTTAGTAACTAATGCTCAAAAATGTAGTGGAGCTGTGAGACTGACCAAATTCTACAAAGAGCCTTTTAGGAAATCAAATAAAAGCATAAAAAAAACTGGATTGCTTTGTTTGTTAAATTTTCACTGGCGATCACCTCAGGCCCACGAACGAATGTAAAAGAGTCTGCAGAGCCAAAAGCGTTCAGCATATCAGACTATAGTCTTATAAGCTGACAGCTGAGGAGGAAGGTGCTGACGGGTCTGAGTGATGCACAGATGATGAAGAGTCATGCTGGGAATGCAGCATTAAGGGGCAACGTTTGGGCTCAGGTTTACGGTCCCGTCACAGAGTCCAGTAGGTGTTTTCTATGAAAACACACGACCTACAACTCAAGCTTCAGGAACGCTCCATACCTCCGGTGTGACTTTAGAAACTCAAGTGAAGCGTGCTGCCTTTCCTCACTATGTGAAAGTATTAATAACTATATGTTTATGTTTACACGCAGTTTGATACATGCTCCTGATGCTTGTAGTAGTTTGCTCGGAGTCATCCACCATCTGTGTTCATGTGGCCTCCTGCAGGGATGGTTTGCAGTTAGATTTATTGCCTGTCATTAAGGCTTTCCCAGTGTTAAAATACCATGCATCTATCTAAAGGCATCTCGCAACCAGAGAAAACTGCTGACAGCGATAACATTTGGAAAGTGTGAACAGTTTATTGCTCTTTGTTTCTACTTCAATTTTACAAGTTAGATTTACTAAATCACTGATTGGGCAAAACAGATGTAACAATTTTTCATGGGATATGTACAAAAATTTTTTTATTAATACACATAAGCCAAAGCCAGATGCCAGGTCATCCTCTTCAGCATATAACTGCAGTGTGTTAGCTGCACACTAAAAAGCCTTGTCCCAATGGGAAGAAAAACCAAACCAAAAAATAAAAAATAAATCACTACGTTGGTGCTAAAAATGCTTTTTTAAATCAGTTTCTTTCTTTAGAATAACTTTAGACTTTCAGGCTCAGGCAGGTGATGCTTGGTTTATACTTCTTGTGGCAGTGATGAGAGAGCTGGACTGGAGCGATTAATGATGCCAGCATTCTGCTCACACCCCTATAAGGAGACAAGCCCAATGCTTAGGCTGGACCGGAAAACTCACTCAGCAGGTGTGTTTGGTCTGGTGTCATTTTCCTTTAACTCACTCACCTCCAGCCTGACCTCCTTTTAAACCCCCTTTCTGTCCCTTCAGATTGGACATGTCGGTCCGTGCTGGCTGCCGACAAGATAAAGGACCGGACACAAAGTACAGTACAAGTGCTGCCAAAAACTCGCCAACACTGGGAGGTAAAAACAACTCCACCTCACTGATAAAACCATACAATCCTAAAGGTAAATGAGCTTTCTGGGTATGCGGTCATGGCCATGTGGTCATCCAACAGTGTGCAAGATGCTCTGGTTACAACGCACCGAGGTGCATTTCTCACTTTTGACTGTAATTTAAAATTGCCACCTGATAAGTGCAAAGTAACACTTTAGCACCACAGCTTGTCACAGTAATTTTTGGAGGAGCTGAAGTATGTGACATTGAGAGCAGCTGATTTCACTCATTAACACGTTTGATTCAGAGAGGAAGAGCTAATCGGTGCGATCGGCTGCTGCTGCGTTGGACTGGAACTCAAACCTGCAGGTTGGACTGCATTACACTCCACAGATGTACCACAAGCAATGCAGATGCGTGATTAGTGCATGCAGTGTTTCAACTCAGTATTTATTCGCCATCTAGTGGACATAGTTTATAATCTTCCCAATGCACACAGAGTGGGCCAGTCCAAAACAAGGATGACATATAGTATTTCACATTAATGACAATATCGACGCTCATTCTAAACCTGTGGAGAAACTGGCACAGGTAAAAAATAAAGGAGGGCCTTTGTTTTACTTGATTCTTATTCTCATACTTAAAAAGACACATGAAATGCCAATAAGTGCTTAAATTATATGGAAATTTGCAGAAACAGATGAATGTTGTCTTTTGCAACACTAGTGCCTCAAGAGAGGCATTTTAAAGATGGACAAAGCTTACATTCCTGCGTTTTAATCATGGATGGAACCACGGCAGGTTTCAGTCATCTTTGGGGTAGAGTTGGACTTCATGTTGGCTACATCCATCTTTTACATACAGAGTGATCACAGACTGCAGCCTCCCATAAATTAGCATTGGACACTACTGAACCTTGGTTTTTAATGACACTACAATTAATAGCTGTTATTCCCCTCTTGTTACAATATATACATGCATACAATCCATATCATCTTTGTCAGAATCCATTGGATTCTACCAACGCTGAACATGGATGACAATCTTTCATCAAGACAGTATCTGTTATGTTAAAACAAGCCCTCAGATTCTCATCCATCTCTTACCTCTAAGTCCTGAAGACACTTATTCATGTTCAGGCCTCTGAGTATGACAGAGATTATGGTTCCCTTCCTGAAGGTGAGAAGAAGGATGTACTGTGAGCAGCACTTTTCTATGGGTTACTGCAGGTCAGCATGGAGGAGACTGTAAATGCTCCTCTCCTTGTCTGTTCTCTCATTTCTAATTCTGGCTGGTGTGAATCTAAGTGGAGAGGCAGCTGTTATCTGAGGATATGATGCAGCTGTCAGCAGAGGTCAAATATAACCTGCGGTAACACTGAGCAGTGAGATGCCAAATGCACAAGACATTGTTGTCAAGTGGAGGAGAAAAGTGGATTAATAAAATCCAACCTCCAAGTGTAACCGTGAAACAAAACGACAGGAGAAACCTACACAGTGGTGTGAAAGAGAAATTTTCCACAGGATTCTTTTTAGTCCTGTGAAAAACTAAATCCACCCTTACTCCTTCATTAGGAAATAAGAGAGTACTTATCAGCCAGGTGCTGTTAGTTAAATGCACTTGATTAACTGATCATCACCAACTATCTGCACCTCTGCAAAAGCAGAAGTTTGGCAGTTTGCAGGTGTGGAGCTTTCAGGTGTGTGTTAACACAATAACACAATCATGTCAGGAGCGCACATGCCAGCAAATTCACCCCAAGGTCAGAAACTGTGAAAAAAAAACCCTAGAGGTCCAGCTCAGTCTCTGCAGGCCTCAGTTAACATGTTAAATGTCAAAGTTTATGGCTTGTTTGGAAAGGCTGCTGGGAGGAAGCCTCTTCTCTCGAAAAAGACTCAAGACTTCTGGAGCAAAACAGGACCAAAGTGGAGATGCTTGGTCATAAAGCACAGCAGCACATTTGGAGAAAACCAAACACAGCATATCAACTATTCACACAGAAGGGGATTTATGTTTGTCTACCTTTTTACCCTGTAAAGACCAGTGGGCCAAACTTTCCCCACAATAATGTGAAAGACTGGGAATATGGCTAAAATAACAAGGAGTCCAATGCATTATTAGTTATGTCTAAATAAAAGCTTTCTGGAGGGAGTGAATCAAGCATTTTTCATTGAACTAGTGACTCTGAAGCTTTCTTTCTTTCTGTCTTTTTCCTAATTGCTCCATCGAAGGAGTAAAATTATTGCAGTTTTCATACACGGGGTCTTCTGCTCTGTGCTCATACTGTAAGTATCACAGTGTTTTGCTTCCTGCTGCCAGGAGTGACAGACATGAGAGGATGGATTTAAGCTGTGAAATCTGGTAACGATTTAACAAAATGCCACACGTGTCTGTACAGGACTGGGACCACCTGCACCTCCAGGTTTCAGCTGAAAGTTGAAACCAGTACTCCCAGTGGCATCTGCATGAATAACCTTTTATTTGTTTATTTTACTACCATCAAACTACATGAAGACTTTTAAATTTATGGATATTTTTGACTTCAGCGTACCTTTGTGGAAAAGCATGCTGTGTCACATCTAAGTGATCGAATCTGCAAAGAAAGGAAAGAAAAGTGATTTGGGGGGAAAAAGCTTAAAATCTAAAAATAGTAAAATGCGGTTTAAACGCTCACCTTTTCTGCTCTGTGGAAAATAAGCCAGACTTCTTCATTTATGACAAAAACATTTAGGATTCAGGTTTTGGAAATCAGCTAATTAAATATATGCAGTTATTACTCACCTTCTAAATATTACTATTTCAGCCTTTTCCACAAGCAAGCCAACGGCTTTAAGCATCATAATTCAATGTTGTTTCTTCCATAAATTCAAATTAGGCAACTTTTTATAAAACATCACATTACTATAATTTTGTGTACAGGTAAAAAATAGCTCACTTAGTATCTTAGTACAATAAAATAGTTAAATAAAATTAACCTCCAGTGTTTTACAAACTCAGGAAAACTGGGAACAAGATGAGCATGAAGCTTTTCTAGTTAATGTGACAGCAAAAAGACGGTAAAAGTACATCACATCTTGTTTTAGAAACATGAAGTGATTTAGTACTGTTACAGTTCTCCAACGTAGGAAGCACAACTATTCCTCTACACTGGCCTTGTGCCTTATTTGATCCATTATAGGCTGTCAGGCAAATGCAAGCCTTCTCAAATTAGTTATTTCCCACAGGCTCTATAAGAACTATGGATAAAGACATCGTAATGTTACAAACCGGCTCCCAAAGTCCAGTTTTTGATGGCTCGCCCTCCTATCTTTTTAAAACCAGACGTCACAACTGAGGGATGCGATTAAGAAACCATTTTTATAATGCCGTCCACTGGCAGGGTCCATAACTTTCATAAAGAGCATAATGTTACTTTAAACATGAGCAACTGAGCCCCCAGTCTCATTAGCAAAGGTCTGGAGGGGGTTCGCAACCTGTTTAAGGCGCTTCACATGGAAGCTACATGTGGGGGGGTCTTCAAATATTTGCACTTGCAGACAACAATCAACTGTTACATTCACAAAGCAACTAGGCAAAATAATAAATGGATGAAATTTATTAATAAATGAAAGTGTATTACAGGAAACATGTTGGCAGACAGAATAAGAGATGTAACTTGTGGGTCTGACAAGTTTCCAGACTAGTTTTAGGTTATAATGAATGAAACTTTAGGTCCATTTTATAAATTATCTCATTATAAGAGCCAGAAAAGATAATTGTCCAGAATATGCTCATTGGCCACATCAGTGTCAGTTATCAGACTGACAACCAGCTTCCCAACAGGACTTTACAAACCACTAAGTGATGTAATGGTGTCTGTCCATCTTTTGATATTTACAGTTTATGGTAACAGGTCATGTCAGAGATCTAATGGTTCTTGGACAGCTAAGTGGCACGAAACACTTGACTAGACGTTCTACAATCTACATCAAACAAGGGAGAAGTGAAGGATTGACCAAATGAATGTGTGTAAAGAGCATGTTGTAGTGTTTCATTTATTCATGCTGGGCCAGTTAGAATATGGGTCATGATTTATTTGCAAAATATGCGTCCATTGCATTTGGATTTTAACCTCAGACACTAACTAGAGTTTCAGGAAACGTACATCACAACAGCACATTAGTAAAAGCAAAAGGAGAAAAAAGTAGAATTGATTTATCTGACACATACTAACTGTAACACAGTACAAATATATCACAGTACAGTTTCAATACAGGCTAAAGCATGAAGGAAGCTTAGTGACGAGTATAATTCAAAGTGAGATATCCAAAAACTACAACCATGCTTCACTGGCATCAGTGCATATCACAGATTCCCTACATTTCACTGCACCTTAACACAAGCCTTGAATTAAAGTAAAGGCCATTTATCACATACTGTACCAAAACAGAAGCTTAGTAAGCACCATAATCTTCCACCAAACATATGCCTTTAGATTATGTTTACTAAGATCAGGATCTACAGATCAAGTAAAATGAATTAGAAATGCATCACTTTGGATTAAAACCCTTCAGTTAACAAAGACAGTAAACCCAATTTCTGTCCTGAAAGTCACCCTCGCATTTAGCTATCAAACATCTTCTTCCTATCAGACTTGTCTTCAATGTTCTTACGCCAGTCTCCCACATCACGCAGCTGCTTGTCCTGCAAACACAGACGATGCTCTGTTAGTCCAGACTGAAATCAGATGCAAAAAGGCTGCTAATCAAGAAAAAAACTATTTGTTTTGATGGTTTTTCTGCCCCCTAGTGGCCAGAAAATGGATTGTTACAGTTTCTGAGGATTAAGTCCTCCTCGATGTTGAGAAGAAACTCTACCTCCTAAACCAGGGGTCTCAAATCTGCAGCTCCAGAGCCACATGTGGAGCTACTGTAGATGCCTCCCTGTGGACACCTTAGTATTGTAGGTCTTAGTATTGTTAATTAAGACCTGCTGTGCTGTAGAGCCCAGTGAGGAACTCTGTGATCCTGTTTCGCTGAGTGTAATTCTAATTTGACTGTGCTGGCACTCAATCCTTTAGCCTAAATGTGGGCTAATAGTCACAACAGCACGAAGGCAGCAAAAATACTAATGCTCTAGCTTCAACCAGTGGGTAAAGTAGGCACACTCCTCTTTTTTCTGTCTGTGGAGTTACTTCTCATCGCTGATAAGGACTTAGACCTCACAGGTATCTGTGATTTTATTGAGTGAGGACCAAATGAACCAGGTAGCTGCTCACCTCCTCTTTCACCTCCTTCTTGACCTGCTTCAGATTGGCCCTCAGGTCCATGTTGACAGTGTGTTTGGAGCCCAACAGAGCTTTGAGCATGGCGTCAGCAGACATGCGCACTTTCTTCAGCCGGGGTCTCTTGAACTTTCCTCTCAAATCCACAATCTTGATATTGAGGTCCCTGACCTGAAGGAGGATTCTGAGGATTACTGACCTGACAGATTAAATAATCAATCATGAAGCAAACAGCAGTGACATGCAGGGTGTTTGGTGCTGAATTCATCACCAAGTACCACTAGCTTTAAAACAGTGTTGTTGGGTAATTAAAATGCTGACAGAAAAGCTACAGGAAGGAATAAGGATGTGAAATATTTCCAGTTAATGTTGCTATACGATTCACGGCAACTGCAGACCTCACAAGAAGGTTTGTTGTGTCTTCCATCAAAGTCTCAAGAGTGTGGAGGAGAAGTCAGAAAATGGTCAGTTACTCAATGAAAGCCTGACAAGCATCAGCCTAGCAGCAAGATCAGTATCTGCTCCTTTGAGGAGTAACGGGCAGAGGACACAGGGAGGAGCCCTAAAAGGTGACGACTGCATGTGCATGTTTCTGGCCTGTGTACACAGAGCAGTGCCACCCAGATGGACTGCAGAGCCAGCATGCATGTACAAGCAAATGTGACTGCATAATATTATATTTGAAGTAAGCAGTTTTGTAATGTACTTTTTCCTTAGTGTCAGACCAAAATCCAAAAGATAGGGAAGCTTCTAACATGAAAATAACCAAACAGCAACTGAAAATGACTGAAAAGTTTAAAAAAAACTTCAGGTATGTGATACTTGTTCCGAATACTTTTTTGGTCTTTTTTTTTGTTTTAAGGTGATCAGGAGAAAATACAAGAATTCATTTGGTTGATATTAAAATATAGCTTCCTATGTTTGTTGCAGTTTGGTTAAAGACATATACAGATACAGTATCTCTACTCGGTGCAAATAAAGACAAAAGGCCAACCTGGTGCAATGAAAAGTGTCTCACCTCATTCAGCACCATGTTCAGTTTGAACTCTATGCCGTATCTCTCATCTTCACTGATGATGATCTGCTCATGAAGCTTCTGGCACAGTTCCTAAAGTCAAGATAGTGATAAAAGTTTTTTTTCTTTTTTAGATGCTTCCAATTTCAAAAACCCACAAAAGAAATGAAATGCAATATGAAACGTGTCAAAAGCATAATTGTTTGAAACAGTGCAGTTTCTTCTCACCAACAGCTCATCCCTGGAGTACGGCAGCTCAACAGGAGGACATTTATCTGCCAAAAACGTCTCTCTCTCTTTGGCCTTCACATTCGCTTCAGCGTCCAACAAATTACCTGCCACCACGAGCATGCAACCCTGAGGAGATTACATCATCACCCCATGTCAGGTAAGAGGAAGCACAGGCAAGCAGATGGGCATGTATGAGGTATTTTGCTCTGTTAAGCTTATCAGTTAAAGTTAATCTTACCTTCAGGGTGTGCTTACGCCTCGCAGACAGCCTTTTCCTGCAGACGGAAACACAAATTATAATTGATGGAAGTAATGTATATTTGTGATGATCAATTTTATTGCAACCATAAAGATCGGTTTAATCCATTCCCAAAGGAAATAGTAATATATGTGGGTCACTGATGTGACATCAATATTTCATTGTCAAAGCAAAAAACGAGATGTAGGTATTTTGATTTCTTTAAAAAAATCTTTAAGGTTTTATAAATTTTCAGCGCATTGAAATAAGTGAACAGCTTTATTGTGACTGTTACAAGGTTACAAAATGCAAAGCAACAAAGTCAGTAAACAAACTCCAAAAGAGCCGGGCGATCACGAGGGAGAAGACACACGGGACTGACAGGAAACAGTACTATTTCTACACAAAAAGATAATCAGGGTAGACACAGGAGGGTGACAGGATGCAGTTGAAGATGACCAGTGACAAAGGGGCAGGAGGTGGAAGTAAAACTGAATACAAAACACAGAAGATTAAGGTATTAAAATACAAAATTGGACAATCAGGAAATGAAAAACAATTATAATGAAAGGAAAGGACAGACAGAGGATGTCAAGTCAGAGGGAAATAAAGCAGGGATTAATTAAAGTCTAGAAATACACAGTAACTAGAACTACACAGAGTACCAAAGATAAATGAAAATCAAAGATGAAATAAACAAAACTAAGAGCTTTTAATATTAAACAAGAATTAAAAACTTTGGGACCATCCAGGGATCGTGGAAAACATATGCATGTCTCATTAGTGACCCATAAATAATTTAATAATAAAGTAATCAGTGCAGTTATGATGAATGCAAGCTAAATGTCACACACTGAATAAAAACAAAACCAAACAGTCCTTGTGAGGGAACCGCTTGTTCCTTTGCACACTGGCTGGTTACACAAACAGGGAAAATAAACTTACATGATTTACAGAAAATAGTAAAGTTTTTACTCACTCAGTGGCCATGTTTGCTGGATGATCCCGAGGTTACCTGACAAACACATAACAAGAGTTAATGCTTTTTATTGGAATCAATTTAGATACAAATATACAAATATATACATTTTAATGTCCTTGCCAGCAAAATGGTGACAGGGACACAATAAAAAGCAAAACTAGAGAAAAACATAAGTCACAAAGGATAAGGAGAGAGCAGTGGTCTGGAGCCACCACCTGTTAAACCATCACCTGTCTGGGTGTTATCTTTCATATATATATCACAAGGTTTAGGATTGTGTTCATGGGAATTTTTGACCATTTTTCCCAAGCACATTTCTGAGGTCAGACACTGACGCTGGCTCACACTCTGCTCTAATTCATCCCAAAGGGCTTCTGTCGGGTTGAGGTCAGGACTCTGTGCAGGCCTGTCAAGGTCTTCCACACCAAACTCTCTCATCCAATTCTTTATGGACCTTGCTTTGTGCACTGGTGAGCAGTCATGTTGAAACAAAAGCTGTTCCCACAAAGCTGGTAGCATAAAATTGTCCAAAATGTCTAAGGGATTGACCCAAACGCCTGAAAAACACTCCCACACCCTAATCCCTCCTGTACCAAACTTTACACTTGCCACAATGCAGTCAGACAAGTACTGTTGTCCTGGCAACTGCCAAATCCAGACCAGTCCATCGGATTGCCAGACAGAGAAGCATGGCTTATTGAGATCACATCTCTACTGCTCTAAAGTCCAGTGATGGCGCACTATACACCACTGCTTTCAGCACTTTGCACTAACCTTTGTCATGTAAGGCTTGGATGCAGCTGCTCGGTCATAGAAACCCATTCCATGAATCTCTCTACACACTTGAGCTAATCTGAAGACCACATAAAGTTTGGAGCTCTGTAGTGATTTAACTCTGCAGACAGTTAGGTAGATGAGTAGAAGCACCTATGGTAGAGGTTGGCAACTTGTGGCTCCCTCACAAGCCACAGGTTACAATTAGGGTGAACGGTAATCCTGTTACTATTCATACTGGATGTAGTAATACTTAATGTATCCTCTCCCAGTTACATCTGCAAATCTGTCACCTGCGTGTGCTGCTCTTTTTCTCACGTTCTTTGGTAGGAGGAGCTAAAATGGCTCTTTTGATGTTGGAGGTTATGGACACCTGACCTGAAGTATTAATTCTCACCAGGGTCTCGAGTTATCATGATCACCAATCTGAATGTCCACGGAATAACAACTATACTCCAAGCCTTTTAGACTGAGGCGTAACTTACCAAAGATAACCCAAGCAAATACAACATGAAGTTTTTAAATGATGATTTCTTTTATTAAAGGGAAAGAAAGCTGTCCAAACCGCTTTTATGACATCTTCCCATTCAAGTATTATACACAAACGCTGTGTATCAGCATAAACACCTCATACCAACTTTCATTTTTCAGGGGCTGATTATTTAGAGACCTTTTAGTCACCGAGTGGACCACGAACTCCTCTTTATACTAAAGTAAAGTCGATTTAAATAAATGTGAGGTAATCTGTCCAACAGCTGAAACCTGGCCTACACTGCATCATGCAACAGGATAATAATCAAAGATAATAAGGAAATAATCAAGGTGCTGCAAATTTGCAGCCAATTTTCAGATGTCAGTCTGATTGACAGGACATTCAGAGAGCTGTGCATGTAATGAGTGGGCCAGAATTCCTCCACAACAATGTAAGCGACTGATAAACTCATACAGAAATCTATTATTTCCAATTATTTTTTGCTAAAAATGTACTTTTTTCACAGGACTGCAGAGAGTCCTGTGAAGACATTTTCCCTTGGGAGTAAATAAAGAAATGAACGCCCATTTTCTTTGGTATATTAACAGCATTGGCAGCAGTGGCAAAGATCTAAGAATAGCACGGTTGTGTTATCTTTCCATGGAGCACTAACAAGGCAGAGTTTCAGCGTACTCGTTTTATCAAACGGACAAAGAATAAATCTTTGGAGCACTTTCAAATGTGGCCTCAGAAAAATCCATGCAGCTTTTCTGCTGACGGGTGGAGGAACGCTTCCTTTAGTCAGGCTGCCCGCAGCTGTCCACTGTTTGCTTTATAAAGAATTGAGGGTGAACAAGGAAAAGCAATAACCCACATTTTTATTTCAGTATTAAACCACATCATGTCTCCGTTCTCTGACGCTGTCCTGCACCCACATTCACCTATCTCATATTTCATGTTTGGACTGTGTGAATTCTATCTTAAGACATCAGGTTAATTCCAGGAAATTTCATGGAACGGCACTTTGTAACCCAGGACGTGTTAATGCCTTAAAGGAACCATGCCGCTATTTCTAGCAGCACAGCTCAAGGGATACAGGTCCAGCACTGCGAAGGGAAACATTTCAACAACTGTGGATTGCCATGACATTTGGTTTGTTGTCTGGTGCCTGTGCTTTCAGCGCCACGAGCAGGTCAGATTTTTTTCTTCACTGTAGCATGCAATAAAAAATGAATTTGCATAGATTTTAGAACAGATTACTACAATGCTAAATCAATGTTATGTTAACTAACTAAAAGCCAGTGTTATAACATTGTTATAAGGGTCACAGTGTTATAACAAGCATATAATACCAGCGCCACACCTCTAAAATAACCTGAACAGACGTGTACTTTTGGTGTGATGTTTACAGAACATGCTAATATTAGCATGATAATAAGATAATGACCTTTACAACGCCCAGCATATGATATAAAGAACATTGAGGAGTTCATGACTATCCTTCCACTTCACACACTCTCTATAAAAAGACAACTACTTTCTCCTTTGCTTCTAAAAGATTATCCCTACCAGAAGTGTATCATGTAGCATGCTTTATAACATCCACCCACGTCTTCTTCTGTTTGTCCAAAGTTGGATATCACATCTTAAGCAAGGGTATTCTAGACATCCCTCTCCCCTGCAACATTTTTGGTCCCTCCTGGTCAACCTTGAGCCATTCCCAGGATAGATGAGACATGTGATACCCCCAGCTCAGGGTCTACCCCGGGGTCTCCTCCCAGCCGGACATGTCTGTAAAACCTCCAAAGGAAGGCACCAAACCACCACATCTGACGTCATTTGGATGTCCTTTTGACACAAAGGAGCAGATGTCAAAGCAACCCAAGTTCCAGGGCTGAGCTCTTGTAGCTGTCTCATTCTTTTTCATTTGTCACTAACTAGAGCTTATAACCATGGGTGAGAGTTGGAGCACAGATCTGCCTTTAAAGCAAACGTTGATTGCTTTACAAGTCAAGCTTTTCACCATAATAAGCCTGTCAAACTCCTGCATTTCATCTAACTCCAAATGAGTCAGCCTTCCTATCAGACACTCTACATTGCCATCACTTACAAGCAAGACCTCAAGATATTAAAACATCTTAACAGCAACCCAGCCCCAGAGGGAGCTATCTGCAGTTTCAGGAGAGAACCAAGGTTTCAGACTTGGAGATGCTGACTTTAACACTTGGCTACAAGATGTCGCAGTGGGTGCTAAAGATTGGGGCCTGATAAAGCCAACAGAACACGTCAAGTGGAAAAAGCAGAGCACGATGCCATGTCTCCATACTTGACATGCTACTCACCAAGGCCCAGACCTTTAAGCCTTTACTGTCTGAGAATACAGATAGTTGTCTGAACTGTAAACAACCCCAAATTTAAGGGTAATTTTGTCCATTTACAAGCCACACCTAAGACACAATCTGTCAATTAAGATGCTGCATAAGCTTCACTTCTGGAAATGTACCTTCTCCCTTTATTATCATCACAGATAATGGTACATAGCTAGAAAACAGTTGCTTAGGCATGTCTGTGGATGGCAGTATCAGTCTGTCAGCCCATATATTCAGTTATTCTGGCTTTTCTTCCAATGTGACATCCCTGCTTACTAATCACTCATCTTATCAACAACTTCAATAACTTTGTTGAGCCTCTGAATTTTCATCTAGCCCAACCATTAGGTACTTGGAAGTTCATGACATGTAAAACTACTGACATTTCCATAGTATCAGCTGGAGTTTTTGTTTTGTTTGCAAATAGATCCAAACTCCAGGCAAACAAAATGCAAACTATCTGCAGGGTTAGATATCAGTGGACGGGTAAACCAACCCTACCAGCCACACGACACTTGTAGACATCCTCAGAAGTTAGACGGTCACTGCCTGAGCTGCTTGTAATGTTTAGGAGATGTGATGGAGGAGAGGATTAAGACTATTTCTGGAGCCACAGCTGTTCTTGACGTCTTCATTGTACAGGGGGGAAAAAGAGGGACAGCAGGCTCGCCTTAAAAGAAAAGACGAGTGACAACCACTGCAGGCATCCTAACGCACATAACTGACCAGGAACACATGGTCGTCATCTGTAAGCCAATGAGAAGCCGGTGAGGGGGGTATCGCCGGGTATTTTAAGACACTCAGAACTCCGAGGGCACAACAGCATGTTGCTCTGGAGATAAAATCATATTTGTAGGGGCCTTGATTTTTAAGTGTGTGTGCGTGTGTGAGTATCATGAGCAGGATTGTCTCTGAAGGAGCAGGAGGATTCACAGTAACCCAATACTGCAGAACATCCCTCAGACACTAGAGCATATCACAAAAATAGCGTGCCGCTGCCCTCAGACACACACTGCTTCACTCTTACAAAAATAAAAACAAGAAGATACAGGATACATTTCCATCCAATGCAAAATCCTGAATTGAATCTGCTGTAATAGCATGTGTGTTAGAGAAAAGACTCAAAAGTGTTCAAAAAGCCTAAATGAAGCTTGTCTCAAACACTTGTAGAAGAGCATCAATAGATGAATGATGACTTCAACAGCGGCTAAAACAGAAAAACAGTTGGAAAGTATTTTTAAAAACGAGCCAAAACACAAACGACATGTGGAATAAAATATTTTTCTAGCTTTGTGGTTGGGCTTATTCTGCACAAACATAGTTTCAGGTACTATGTTTCCCTTTAAGCCTCATCCATGCATTTCCATTTGAGTGTCCCAAACAGCTGAAAACTCCAGATAAAGACATTGATGTGAAGCTAGCTTTGAAATGAAGTTGATAAAATGAAGTTTTGTTGTTTCTTAACACATTTGAAGATTATATTTTCCTCAAAAATAATATTTCCACAAAATATAGACATGGGTACAACAAAAACAATATGACTTAAAGTTATATTTAAAATACACAATCTGTTGTTCAGAGAAGTCCAGAAAAAGAACCAAAAACCAAGCCATAGTGGGCTTTAATGCTTTAACGCGTGTGGAAAAAAACAGGCTAAATTTGATAAGCAGGGATTAAACTGAAGTGTAAAATGTGAAGTCAGGTCCCTGAAGATTAGACCCAGTTTTCTTCTGCTGTCCCCCCGCTTCCCTCAGTGCTGACAGGAGGATAAACACTGGCAGATCGACTTTCAGGTTAATGCCTTGTAGTGGTGTCATCTTTCAGCATGCCACATCACCACGCCATACATCACCGTACGCCAATGCAGCAGAGCGAGCACACGTCCAGACGGAAAACTACTCTTTCAAACTTTGAAATCCTAAAAATATGTCAAGTAATTACATGTAACTCCACACAAACATTAACTACAGAGTGAGGAAATCACTCAAATTCTCCACTGTCAACATTCGATATAATGGTGACTTCCAAAAGACGTAAAACCTCCAAGAACCTTTTATGGTCACTACAAACTTATCAAACTGACACCATCTTTAAATAGTTGGCCAGGCGCCAACAACATCCTCCCATCAATGACAGCAAATATCAAATATTCTCCTCTGAGATCAAAGCTTCAACCTTCCACAGAGACATTTACGTCTGCACTCCCAAGACGAGACAAATCATCTACAGCTGCAACCAACCAAAATGTGATCAACTAAAATAAAAGAGGAAAAGAGAGAAATCTTACTTTAACCAGGCCGAGCTGTTAGAGTCACGGAGACACAGACAGAGTCGCAGGCAGACCAAGTGTTAAGAAGGTATATATTGCAATCTCCATGGCCTTCTAAATCCTGCACTTTCTCGTTATGGAAGTGGATTACTGGTCAAACCAATGAGCTGGCAAGGTCATGAAATACAGTACACTGTCATCTGCCCCTTCCACGGCTTGCCTCATTATAAATAACCCGCCCTTTAACATTGTAATCTGTATTATCTTGAGCCATCAAGTCTCTGACAGGCAGAATTCAAGGAAGAAATGAAACCACAGAGATATTTTATGAATCCCACTTAACACTTATATAAATACTTTGCTGACAAATGATGAGTTGGGATAGAGCAGGAAAACACACACTGCTAACTTTAACTCGTTGGCTATGGAGAAGCTTTTTTTTTCATTTTAATATTTGAAAACAGGAGGAAGAGGAACTCCCAGTGTGCTGCTGCAGAGATGAGCTTTGGAGGTGACTTGGTTAAATAAGAGAACGTTAGCATCCTATAAAACATTAATAAACAGTGTAACTCACATTTTAGATTATTTTAAACCTGGGATAAAATGTGGTGATAATTTAAAAAGAACTAAAACAACTTTAGAAAAACATTTGATAAAGAACACTTACCTGTGATGTGTCCCTGAGTGAAGACAGTCAAACACCCTTTTTCTACTGATGGCCCAAAGTCTGCGACCACAATTAAAAAGTTGTCATATTTTCAGAGAAAATTCAAAATTAGTTTCAAAATTTCAAAGAAGTTTCTCAGAACTTAGTTTTTTTTTTTTAATACTTGCATTGCCCGTGCTCTTAAAGGTGAGAGCGGCTGTTTTAATTCCATGCAGGTAAAGAGGACTCATCAAAAAGTCTTTAAAGGATGATCGAAATACATCAAGTCTAATAAGCTCTTTGAAAAGGAGCACCAGGAAATAAGAGGAGGCAAGGGGAGAGACAAGAATATGGACACACACACAGAGGAAAGAAAACAAAGGAAGGAACGGACTCAGAAAGAAAGTCGTTACCAAAATAAAACTGTGAGCAAAAGTGAAGGAGAAGGCCACTAACAAACCGGCACAGATGACGGCAAGGAAACACAGTAGACATCAGGAAATTTTGATATTATATCAAAACCAAAATGTAAACACTAAGCAAGAAACCATGAAGCTTGTATTCTTTCATTTACTCAAAAAAGCTTCTGCCCAAAATGCTGACTTTAACATATTAGGCGGCATGAAGACTCCAGCAATACTTGAACAACAACAACAACTTTATTCGCAGACCAACACGTCTCGGCTTCATCAGGGACAGAAATTATTAGATTTAATGGATTCTGCTCAACTGAAATGTATTAATTGGTATCATTCATTTAATAACAATCCAAATTTCTTTAAAGATTATGCATTTGAATAAATAAACCTTTAATTTTATATATCATTTTACTTCCAATTGAGACTCAAGTGTCTTTCTCGAGACATTTTTTTTTAATTTCTGAGCATGATCCAAAACAACTTTAAATTTAATGTTCATGTGAATGATCAGCAGTTAAAATGTTCATCTCTTTAATAGTTTTTTTCTCCCGGGAATTATACTTCTGCTTTCTTATATTATACTTTTACATGAGCCCAAAAGCAAGATTTTTTTTCATAGTATATTTAAATAATACATTTTATGAAGCTTTGTAAACCATATGGTTGTAATATTCCGAGTTAAACACGAGTATTTCAGAAACGTTGTTGACACAGAAAGAATAAAAACTAAAAGACGAGCCTGGTATCAGAATGTAGGTAAAAAGCAGAACTTTCATATCATTTAGCTTCTTCTGAGAAACCAGAATCCTCCATGCTCATAGGAACCTTGAAAGTTATAGACTTGTGGAGTTATCTCCAATCGTGTTTTCAATGAGAAAACTGATCAAACATCCAGGGTACCAATATGTTATACCCTGTGATACTGGTGCTCAGATTTCTTCATAGGCAAAAAACAAATAAGATAAAACTAAAGCTAAAAATAGTTCTGAGGAAAACTAAGAGTTTAGTTTAGATTGTGACGCTTGTAGTCAGTGTAAAATTGCTGTTTGTAGCAGAGCTTAAATGTGTTTTGTAGCCTTAAAAATCACACATACAAGCTTCAGCCCATCCCTATAAATGTGTATGATTATGAGGGATGAGGATCAAACTTTGTGTGACTTCATTAAACTTCCAAATTGTAGAAATAACAATCAGCTCATCAGATGAAAACTGGGATCACAAATAAATCTTAAAAAAATGACATATTGGTTTATTGGTCTATATTTGCAATTTGTGGAACTTTTCTCACTCAGGATTCTTCAACTGAACTTTTATTGACAAAAGATCCAACCATCATTATAACTGAATGGTGCAAATCACTACGAAAAGTTCTGCTGTTCCCAAAGCAAACAGGGAGGTCAAACACATACAAAGATATTCTGCTTTTTCTTAAACAGTCATCTTTTCTATCAAACTGTGAAACCTGTGGGAAAGATTCGATTCCAAGGTGATTTGTATGAAGTCTTGGTGTCACCTCTGTCTGTCACCAAAAATCAAAGAGCCATCGAAGATGAATTTAGAGTTTTAGTTAATCTGCCTGACACCATTAGATCCTTTGGGCCTCATAAAGCAAAAACAGCCACAAACACGACTCAGTCCGGAACTCTGAACCGCATTAGAGCTGCTGCTTTTTAACATTCCCGCAAGCTAAAGAGAAACCACAAAAAGATCTTTTTTTAAGAAAAAATAAAGGACGTGTTGTTTCATTTTCCCTTCACTCCTATTTATTGAAAACTATCCCAACCTCCACTTCGGTATGTCAGCACAGCCCCGAAATGCATATTCTTAAGACCAAATAGTCAGCTAACTGACCACAGGTTAAAGAATATTTAAGAAATGTTCTCAAAAACAATCATCGTGATGCTGAAAAGTCATTGTTCAACTATAATAATAATAATAATAATAATAATAATAATGCAAAGATTAAAGTATTATGTCTATGATATCATACAGAGGGAAAAGTATAAAAAACTGCGTGAAGTTAAGTGTTTCGAGCAGTCGGCAGCCTGAGAGTTTGGTTGACAGGGATTACTGAGTATGTGCAGTAATCCCTGTCAGCCAAACGCTCATTATTACAAACTTTGGATATTTTTAATTTGGGTATCCAAATTAAAAATATCCAAATTAAAAAAAAAAAAAAACTCACTGTTGTTTTGGAATAAATCACATTTTCTTCAGTTAAACACACACTATGTCCATAAGCATGAGCCATCACAGCGCAGTTATCATTTAGAGGTTATTTTTTTAGACTGTGGCTGTCTCTACTGTCATAGTTTGGTTTCTATTAGTGTAAACCAGAAATGCTTCAACCTGGTTGGCATTACCATAAGTAAAGACAGCACATCTTCTTCAGCAGGAATTGTTTGTTTATTCAGTAAAAATGTTTACAGGATCAAAAATGGTTGTGTGCTTTCTAATCGTCACATTAAGCCTGTCAGTGACAAACAGAAACTAAAAATACTCTTAAGCATTGTTTAGGCCTCAGCCTCAAACATCTTCTTCCTCCCATCCATGCCGGATTTGTCTTCAATGTTTTTGCGCCAGTCGCCGACATCACGGAGATCTTTGTCCTAAAACACAACCAAAAAAGAGAGCCAGGTTAGGTGCTTTAATTAAACAGTGTCAGAGAATAATCTCAGCCTCATACACCAAGTTAGAGTCTAATAAACTGTTTTCATTTGAATACAGCGATAAAAGGCACATTTCACCAAAAGCAGAAATATTTGGGCATGATCTCGATCACCTTTTGCAGTTACCGCTCTATTAGGGTGTTGACAAGTGTTATATGGCCAGATGTGGCCCAAATGTCACAACACACATGGGATCTGTTCAGTACAATGTAGACCGATGTGTGGACCCTGAGACTCAACAGTGTTAGTCACGACCAAATATGACCAAAAGAAGAATCAAATGTCATTGCTATTTAATGAAATTTGATTAAACGTTGGTTAAGTGACAAAATGTTAGAAACCTAAAAAATATAGCATCAAATGATAAATGCACATTGATAAATATTACTGGCGGCTGCTTTTGAGACAACAACAAACACATTTATAAAATATGCATCCAACCAGGTCCTCACCTCGTCCTTCACCTCCTTCTTGACCTGCTTCAGGTTGGCTCTCAGGTCCAGGTTAACTGTGTGTTTGGAGCCTAGCAGAGCTTTCAGCATGGCGTCTGCAGACATGCGTACTTTCTTCAGCACGGGCTTCTTAAACTTGCCCATCAGGTCCTGGACTTTAATCTTCAGGTCATCGATCTGGAAAAGCAGATTACAGAGACCATGATGAAAGTTCTTCAGCATGGAATTTGATCCAAAGCACTGGATATTCCAGTTTTATTTAATCATCAGAACATTAAAGTGTCGGGTGAAAAAAAGTAGAAGGTTTGCCATCTGGGCAGCGGTGCTGTGTTTTACATCATTTTATTCACACTCCCTAAATCTGACATGACATCCTTCTGCCCCATGGAAGACTTCACCATCAACCGATACCTTAGTTTAAATGTTCAAACAAAGCACAACCCGAGCTTCTGATGATGGACGCACGGCAGGTTCCGCAGGGTTATATTCTACCTCTTTGTTGGCTTTGTTGACTTTCATTTCCAGGTCGTATCGCTCCTCATCGATCCCGTCGATCTTGCGGTGGATCTCCTTGCACAGATCCTGAGCACAGATGCAAAAGCCATTGTTACACATGCACTGCAACTATGAACTTTTCCAGACGTTACCCAACAGAGATGCATATTAGAACGCAAATGCTGGACATGAAATGGTCATTAACGAGCCAGGTCGCTAGTCTGTGTGACATCCTCAGCACAAGTGTTGGTGTTCTTTTGTGACGTGCCTGCAGCTCCTGCATGGTCCTGGGCATGGACACAGGAGGACAGGTCTCAGCTATGTACCTCCTCTTTGCCTCCTCTCGCTCTCTTTCTTCCTCCTCCAGTATACCTTTAGCGATGGATAGCATCAAACTCTTCAAAAAAAATAACGTAC